TAGTTACGTTTGCAGTAAACCCGGAGCCGTGGCGAGTCTTCGACGTATTTTATAGCGCGTAACGTTTGCAACAGAAAATAATAATTTTTCCAATAATCTCGAGTCCCATTACGTGGTAGAGTGACAATAGTCGCACCAAATGTGCGAGAAGCATTGTAGAACGTGTCTAGTCAATCTACTCTAACTCTACTCACTTTTACCGATGCTAAAGTATTACAAAAATATCCATACTCATTTGCGTTCAACCCGTTTTAGAGATAGTTTATTATTATTCGTCACAAGTACGTATCGGTTGTATATTGATCTTTCTCCATTCCTTCCACTTTCAGATTTTTTTTTGAATAGTACATAAAGGTACGTTTCCTCGCGAACAAAGAGGTAGAACCACCTCTAAGGTAGGGTCACGCTTCGCCGACGACTCGCGCAGCCCTTGTGCCACGAGCCTTGGCCGTGCGCACAAAAGAGGATGCGCGCACGATGAGTCAGTAAGCGTGCTCGATCTCTTCTCGCGTCGACGAGTCGATCCTCGTCGTAGATCCTGCCCCTTCCGTCCTCAGGAACAACGATACGAGCGGATAGGACTTTCTCGATTCTCGATGCCGCTCACGCTATTTTCTTACACGCTTACGCACGGCGAGTATCGCGACGTGGCGCACGACGCCGAATCGACATTGTATGATGACTCCGACGCCTCAAAAGGTGAGTTATTAAAAAGAAAAGGAAAAGGTATAACTGTAAGATACTTCACGGTAGTTATTCATCTTACAATAAATTCGTTATTTTTAAACGAATACCCGGAACTTTTAAACTTCGGTTTAGTAACGGGTGTAAACTAGGATGCCACGTGCTTAATTTTTCCCTAGTTTCATAATGTGTAAATATCCCTAAAGTTAAGAACTAATAAAAAGAATGACTCCTCTTCCATAATCTGGAACTCTTGCTTCGTGATGCTTGATATTTCAAAAACATTTTAACTTCAGGTTTGTTCGAATAAATTGATAAACAGTCGTCTTTTAGAGTATCGCCTCGCTTGTACAACTTCCGGTGCACGATATTCGTCCTACTGCCTGCTCGCGTCTGTTCACCCCGATTGCAAGCCTCGTGCATCCGCCGTGCGCACGGCGTGTACAGGACTACGCAAATATGATTTACGCGCAAGAATACTCGCCGGCATAATTTATCGTTTGATCGTGCGCCTCGGAAAATTCATACCCAGTCCAGGCAGCCGACTCTAAAGACTCGGGAGTTAGCAGGGCCCTATCGATCAATGTCGCCCGGTTACGGTGACGTTAATGAGAACGATTCGCTACCAAGGGATAATCCGAGCAGATCTTCCTGGCTTGATCTCGGTCGATCTCGCCCGATCTGGGCATTCTTTTGCTCGGCACACATCCGAGAGAGGATTTGCGCGCAGTTCGCCAGCCTGCAGCGTCAAGTAGATTCGATTACGGTTCTCATCGAAATTCGTCGACACTTCACGAGCTATAGATTCCATTTAAAATCGCATAAATCATCAAATGTCACGATTGCCAATACTTAAGATTTTCCCTCGGGAATTATACTTGGACAAAGAGTATGCGATTTGCTTGTAAGTTCAAGCCTTCTCCTTAAAACTAGCATGGCAGAAAACTGATTCATAGCCTCATCGTAAACACCAGATCAGGTCCGGTCTTTTTCTAAAAAGAAAATCTCATTATGCGGTCTTCGGTACCATATCTGACACAAAGAGAATTTGAATACATTTATATTCCATTTAGGAAACATTGGTTCGTACTTGTCAGTGAAAGAGGATACGAATCATCGAGTGAAAATTCCACAGAAGTTAGAGGAGACTTATATGGAACTAATGTCGCAAGGCCTCAAGTTCTCGCAGCCGATGGACTCATATTTACTAGTCGTGGGAAAGTGTGCTATTCCGTATGCTCAACCTGTACAAGCCGTTTCTCTATATTTCTTTAATAATTAGGTTTAAGGCTCCTCTTTTTGCATCTTAAACGGAAAATATCGTTTGGTCATCCAAGATTGCGATGCTTTTGCGAGATCCTTTACTAATGAGAAGACATGATTGGGTTCTCAGTTAACAAGGTACGCAAAAGGACTCGACGTAAAAGGAACCAAAAGAGACGGATCGCTTCAGCTGGGAAAGTGAAGACTGCAATGCGGTTTTCTTCCTTACCGTTCAATTGGCGCGAATGAAACTAAGCTTTACGGCTCGTAACGAGAGCCATTAGAGAGCTCATACCGTTTTTTTTAGACATCTCTCTTCCCTGGATCGATCCGATCGTCTCTGTGTCGTCGAGACTCTGATGAGAGAACGAGGCCTACCAATTTTCAAGACTACTCAATTTTTACGCAAACATTGTAAATTATCTACATTTGTATAAAAATGACCGTGGAATTTCTTTGATTTTAAATTAGTAAACAATTGAACGCATAATTCTTCTCATGAATACGTGTATCTAGATTCTCCGTGGAATTGCGAAATCACTCATCGTGAAAAGACTTTTTACTAGAAATTGCATTAGGATGAGGGCATTTTTATGAAAATGTTTCCCTTTTTGCTGTGCCTGTCAGCAATTATGGCTTTTTTATGAGCCACACATGCCAAGCCACGAATAGGGGTCTGCAAGGCGACTGCACGATAACAGCACTTCCGTCCGGCGCGCCGCGATGCCTCAGGGTAATCGCGGCAAACTCAACGTGAAACAAAGCGAGAAATAATGTGAGCAAGTAAAACTTTCCGAAGCGGACCACGTAGGTATAAATAGTTCGGCTATGCATTCCACGTACATTCCGTAGGCATGAATATATATCGTGACGCTTCAGTTTTCAAATATTGGGTTGTCGGAAAAGTTATGACGTATTTTTCTATGCCATCTGTTACGAAAATGCGTCATTACTTTTCCGACAGCCCAATAGTTTCAAGACCGGAACTTTTATTTTTGGCGCGATAGAAAAAGTAACTCTACTGGAAATACTTCTTAACAATTACTAAAAAAAATTCCTGAAAATCACTAACGAACATAAAAGTTTATTTCAGCTTTAAACAATGGTATCCGCTGTTAACTGAAATTTATAAAATAATGAACATGTTATTATCGGTTGCGAAGTATTGCATAAATACGCAAGAGTACCCAAAATGAGAGATTCTTAGAATCGATGACCGGATGCATAGAAATGGAGAGTACGCCAATTGAAAAGTATTACCGTAGAGGTATTCAAGTCGTGCAAAGAAATTTAACAAGCATGGCCAACCGAGCGCGCTTTAAAATATACGTTTGCGTGCATTGCCAGAGCGTAGAAAGCACCGTACACAGTATATCGCGTTCGTGCATCAACGAATGCATATTTATATACTGTACATTATAATGTATTCTTCTACTGTATGTTAATTAACCGTCCAAGCATGTGCACAAATTTCAGGTACCCGCTTTCGTACATTCCACGAAGATGCGTACAGTTAATACTTCATTCCCAGTCTTGCATTCTTTGCAATCTTGAATACATATCCGCACATATGTTGTGTATTTATCCCCATATATAATGACAACGAAAAGAGAGCTCAATCGTTGCTGTAAATTCGGTATACAGGTAACATTATTTTTCTTATAATCGTTATCAAGTGAACTTTTCATCCCGTTAAGCTTTCTAGCATTAAGTCCGAGTCGACTGAACGTTTGGCCGACACAGGCAGATGTTTGAAATATCTGTTATACTCCGTCAACATCCTACCGATAAGGAATGCTCGAGCTTGTGTCGAATCGCGTGATTGCGATTCCTCGCAGTAAAAAGCCAAACAAGGTGAAAAAAGTCAAATCAAACGACAAGACGATATTCTTCCGAACCCATTTTTTCTGCCTTCCTTCACCTCAAACCATTATTTTTCTCCCGATAGTTGACTGTATTTCAACGTTCGGTCGCCGCTTGACAATTTTTGCAAGATTGCGACGCCATTGCTAGAGATCACTGTCACTCTTCTGAAATAAATTTGCCGGGAGACGTCGGACAACGAGCCCTCTGTTTTCGTAATCACGATTCTCCAGGTGGAAGGGACAAAATATCGTGCCGTGCAATATATGCACGCGCACGTTCACGCATGCTGAGTGCCTTACCGGATGTCGCGAGTAGTCGCGCGTTCGATTTGTCTCCAACCAACACCTGGCTTTCTCGGAGAACAATTTCCGCGCCGAGTCCCATTACTTTCAAAAGTATTGTAGCACGGCGTGAGTGAGAGTGAAAAAAAAAGTCACAGCTTTTCTGTTAATACTTTTTATGTAAGCGTTAAACGGTGAGCCCAAATGGCGTAGGTAATACAGGAAGAGTCTTGAAAACCGTGACTCGCAATAACCAACAGGATTTAATTACGAGAAATTGCTTAGGTCTTAACATTAAGAAATTGTCTTAACATTTTTTAATCACTTATTTTTGTATGTTTCCATTTTTAACATCCGACATTCAGCCAGAAATAGAATTCAGTTTGTATAGAAATATAGAAAATATTAATTTGACATAACTTTATTCCAGATAATATTCAATAAAGAGGGATCACTTTCCTGAAAATAACGAAATCAATTTGTAATGTCCGACAAACAAACTTACATGAACCCGAAATACTTGGTGTCTTTTTCAAAAATTCAAGGTCGGTACTCCAATGTTAAGTACTGAAAGATAGTATCGTGACTACAGATTAAAATATCTCAAATCGGAGTCTGCTGACTCAACCACGTGAATACAGAAGCTGATTGAACTTGATGAACTTGACGGAGCACGTTAAGCATTCGAGAGATTCGAGTTTCTCTTTTCCTTTTACGTTGGATGTTTATTGTTATCAGCGCGCCGCGCGCTGTTGGATGCAAGGTTCTCTTTTAACGCCGTGCTTCAGGAAACAGAGAAAACACTCAGCCCAAAGAAAACAGTACCAGTGAATCACGTACCCTGATTTTCTTTCCCCCCAATAGCTTTGACGCTCTGACGTTAGCGCGAAGAAAGTATTAATTCACCTTTGAACTGCTTATGCTGAGCGATTCGTAGTCGGAGTCCACGTAGAATATAGAGTTGGTCTCTCGATGGAACCACATGGTGAACGCTCGTCGATCGATTCCGGGGTGGATCGATATCGCCACGGAAACCTCCCCCGAGGGCTCTGACGTCACCCCACCAATTCCTAATTTCTGCTTAACGGCATTCCCGTCGTTACGTCGACTTGTAATTCTGTCTTCGTACACACATATAATGGAAATTATCGGACAGAATGCAGAATGCACCTGATTGGTTCGAGATAATAACGATATCTGTATTATCGTGATTTGCAGAGTCCACTTTAGCTATCACGGATTTTTTTTAATTATGGAGTTATCTTTGTCAGTCGTTCTCGTTTCCAATGCCTTATATTTAAGCAATCATTAGTTGCTATCAAAGTGCAATAAAATGCTACACGTTCTCCATGAAAGATGTCCAAGCGCCAATTACTGTCAGCAGTACTTACTGTTTTAATTTGGCTTTTTATTTCAATTTATACGGGCCGTTTTAACACTACAATTGCTTTATACCGTAAATTATCCAAACTATACATGTAGGTGATGAATTAAAGTGTACATTTGCACCGTCAAGGTGACATTGTTGACGCACTCATTTTTGTACGATTTTCTGTACATGTTTGCCTTGACATCTCTCTTTTATTTCTGTTTATTTATCACTGCCAGGTTGACACTGTTGTAATAAAGATGCTATTGCATTTTGAAATGTGGCTGTGCAAGGTATTTGTACCACTTGACCGTTTAGGGAAAGAAGCATTAAGGATGATTTGGAAACGATGTTCATCGAAAAGTCGGCGATGGAAAGACATTTTTCAGAACTTCGGTATTACAATTTGAAGATTAACTCGCTGTAAGGACCTGCTCTCACGACGGCCTTCTGAAAACTGGAAAGCGAAACATTAATCGCATGCCAGATACCTCCCGCTCGTGTGTACGCAACGTGTCTTCTCCCCTCCATATGGAAGCTCCCTCCACCCTTTCGATGCCACCATCAGGAAGACAATAAAGTACACCGAGTCTAATTTGAGATTTATTGACACCTTAATTATGGACAAGAATGAGGGTTCTGCAAAAATACATGTATAATTCATGACTTTTGTTACAAAATCATGGCATATTTGATATCCTGTGTCTTGTTCCACTTGTTCTTCTTGTGAAGTTTCATGTGACATTTTGATTTACAGAGAATTTCGCAAGAATTCGTTGACAAACGGCGACAACCATTGAGCTTGCAGTCTACTCGTTGGATTTTGTTCCGCACTTATCCTCAGATTATTTACAGTTGTATAGGTACATATATGACACCCGGGAAAATGTCATAAATTTGTAAACGAGCGCCTAAGTCAATTTTTTATACAAAATTAAATTTCTGTTCGTTGCATGACTTAAGGTCAACGATTTTCTTGGTGGATAGGATTAAGATCGTATAAAAATGGCAGATGTTGACTTAATCGCAACTGCACAACCTCATCTACTACCTGGGTAAAGATTTAACCTATCAACTACATTTATTAAACCCTAGTGTCTTCCAAAAAAAGAAACGAAACATGAACATCACATATATTTGCAATATTTTTCTTCATCATCCAGGTACGCCGGTTTTTGTCCTCAATATAAATTTAGATGCGGAGAAACTTATGGAAGTCTTACGCATAAACTTCTACTGGATCCTACAATCAATCACGCGGAGACTCTCATCCTATCTAACAGAGCTACAGATGATTACGAGGTTTTAATGCAAAAATCTTAATGAAATATCTGTGAAATTTAGGTCACTATATACAATTTTAATCTATCCTTTACTAGGTGACGAGACCACCTAAAGACGACGTGGAATTTGTGAACGCGCGTACCAAACGAACGGACGCAACCTTTCTTCATCCTATGGTTCCAGGATATGAAGGTACATTAGGATACTGATACAATCGTCAATGAAAAGAGCAATATTGGTTTAATTTATGTACAGGATTTATGCCAAGACTGAATGCCAAATACGGGCAAAGGTATAGTGTGCTTGCCACCGAAGGCCTAGCTGAATTCGAACGAGAGTACTTGAAAAATAAAGCTGCGTTAAACGAATTAAATAAAGTGATATCAGTTCAAAGCGGTCATGGCAAGCCAAGGAATCTAAAAGACCGATTGGTAATTATTTAATTTTCTGTAACAACGTAGAATCTAAGAGAATTCGCGAATAATTGTCGCGGTGACCAGGGTAAAATGTGGGAAACTAAGTTGATAAATCAGGCTCAATGGCAATGCCATTATTTTAGTGTTCTTCTATAAACAATATTTTTCGCAAAATGTATTCTCGTAAGCTCCCGTTCAACATAAAACCTGAGATGGATAATGAATCAGCTGATCATTAACTGTAAGTACCTGAAAGTTGAGTTCTAAGTTCCCATGCGGAAATGAAGACGACGTCCATCAGCTTAATTATGTTATGTTTGTTCGATTTGACATGCTTTAAATTGTAATATTTTTATAATTCTTGTTAAAATTGTTGTGCAAACTGTAAAATTCTGTTTATGTGCGTGAAAACGTGACTGATTCACAATAATGTCGGATAACTTTCAATGTTACTTTATGTTCAACGGACTAATTGTCTTACAGCTTTTAGAAAGCAAATTTAAATTACCTATGTTAACTGTTCGTCCGGATTGCGTTGGTGTTATGAGGAATTTACCTGTTGATGAGCAGTGTGAGAGGCCCAGAGACCATGCTCCATCACCTTATTTTATGGAAAATACTAATCCTAACAAGTTCTTTATTAGCGGTGAGATATTTTACATTTCTCGAATATTGAAAATCATCGTATCATAACATTTGAATGTTCAAATCCTTCATACAAACGTCATACTGCACGCCATTCGTAAACCTCAAATTTTCGAAAAAATTCCAAATTGAAAATTACTTTAATAAATTATTGTGTTCTTATTTGAAATTTATTACAACTGGCTAATTATCAATTTATTCCATTCAACTGTAAAAAATGGAACTCGCAGACAGTGAACGTCGAATGAGATATTCATTCATTCATGAGCGCGCAAGACGTAGGTTCTAATTATTACGGAACTTCTCTATGAAACATAAAATTTATGTGTAATATCATCAAAAAGTCTGAGTATATAATAATTAAGTATTAATCTATAGGATATGCAGGACATATACCGTATGGTTATGCTCACTTCGGCACTACAAACGTTCCAATGACGAACTCTTCCCTGTGTGAATTTACAACAAATTATAGGACAAGACAAAGTACAGAATGGGCCCCAGTGAGTATTTCCCGGCCTGATCCACCTCTTCTCATACAACCGGCTGAGATTTACCATAAGCACGTTGGTCTTCTTCCAAATTACCTCGGACATGTTCCCGGATCAGTTTTCAGGTATACCCTGCACTTGTCAAAATATCATTTTATTTTTCTGAATAAAATTATACATTAAATTATTTTGTTATTAAATAGATTTGGAAAAACGTTTGGCGCAGATACCAAAGATGCAAAGAGATGGCTTCGAGGAGACTTTTCTATATAATTAATTGATTCATAATTTTTAGTACCAAATTACTAAGAATGTTACTGCTTGTTATAAAAATACAGTATATACAGTACGAAGTGATATAATGCGCGAATCACAGCTTAAATAAAAAATGTACCGGTTATAGTATATTCTTGATATAAAAGCATACCAGATCCACTGGTATTATGTCACCCAAAAATAGTATACGATGTTATCAAATTGCTATGAAGTACGTATAAAATTAAAATACTACTACATTAAAGTTGGCCTCATGCTATCGTTGTGACTTCCATTTAAGTAAAATATCTGCAGCTTTTTTTAGATTTTCATCCATCTGAAAAAAAAGGTTAATAAATTTTCCAAAAGAAACGATTTCTTGTGATCTTCCTCACCTTTATAAAACAATACCGCACATTTTCTTCTCCTAAGTGTTTATGTGTATCACTGTAAAAAGCGGATGGAGGAATGCCTTGAACACCAACATTTTTTGTCATCCACTTCGTAAACTTATAATCCATAAACGGATCATGTTCCTCGTCGAGTTTAACTTTATCCTTAAGTGCTGTCCAATTTGCAACCATAAAGTATCCACCTTCAGGAACTACAGGTGACATACCAACTTCATTAAGAAATTTAGCCATATAGTCCCTCTTGGGCAACAATTCTCTGGTGAGACTTTTGAAGTAACAATCAGGCTGGTCAAATCTGGCCAGCTCGTGCTCAAATCCAACTGCTATGGCTTCCTTCACAAGAATTATTAATTATTAGAAAATATTAATAATGTAACAAACCATGCAATAAGAAATGATGAATACCTGAACTGGTGTGGTGCACGTGTACACAGCATTTTGATGTACAACTTTCAAATTGTATAATAAGTTTGCTGGCCCGTAAGCCCACCCTGTTTTCCATCCTGTCACGCTGAAAGTCTTTCCTGCTGATCCTATTGTAATGGTTCTTTCATACATATCAGGAAGAGTTGCTAAAATTAACATATAATTATGAATTTATAATAATTTTAATAAGTTACATTGTTAATACATGTTTATAAGTAAATATAGTTACCAATTCTAATATGATAATAGGGTTCATACACTATCCATTCATAAACTTCATCGGAAATTACCAGAGTGTTCCATTTTTTAGCCAAATCTGCAATAAATTGCAATTCATCGAGGGTGAAAACCTTACCAATAGGATTGTGTGGAGTGTTTATAATAATCCCTTTCGTTTTCTCATTAAAAAGACTTTCCATTTCCTTTTTGTCAAAAATCCAGTCAGCTGAGCTTACGATTCCGCTTGTCTTTACCTGTAACGTAAAAGAGTATCACATCTTTTATATTATATGCCATAAATTCACACATTGACAGTATTAGGACCACAAAACATTACTCAAACCGCATTTAAAGTTGCATTGATTAGTGTGTAATGCAATACTTTTTTTATAATTGTACTTCTTCCACAATTTGTTGGAGTTCCAATGTTTTTTTTCAGTAGGAGTAACAAAATATTTATATAAGGATATAATTTCAAATACTACATTGAATGAAATAAAGGAAACAAACTCACTGGCTTTAGAGCAATGAATCTAGGTACTCCTCCAGCTGTTCTAACCATGGGAACATAGCAATCAAAGAATGGTTCGATAATAATCCATTCATCACCGGGGCTTGTATGTCCTTGCAACGTTGAGTACAATGCCTCATATGCTCCAGCAGTAACAAGAATCTCATTATTAGGATCCAATTCACGTCCAAGTAACTTTGAGTATAATTTTCCCAGTGCAGTTACTAGTCTGGGATGTCCCTGAAATTTTGAAATAAATACCATAAAATTCTGACAATGTAGGTCTGTTGAAATGGCATGTAATCTGTCGTACACATATGATGCCCCTTAGATATTCTACTATTTCTAAATATGACTTACAAAACCTCTAGTATACTGGTTTAATAATGGATTATCACTTGTCGCAGCTGCTGCAAGAGCCTTTGTTACGTGTTCTGGTGCATGGAAATCAGGAAATCCTTGACCAAGATTCAATGGCTTATGTTTCAAAGCTAGTTGAATATACTCCACCCTTATGTAAATAAAAAATAAAAAAATTAAACATTAAAAACCAATTCTAACCTTAAATTTCAATACTGGTGTGCAATACTTACCAAATGGATTTTTCATTTCCTTTATATCGATTTGGCAAACTGAACTTTGACATGACTGTAGAGAATGCTCGTATTTGTTTAAATGTAGTATTCAAGGTACACAATCTTGTTATAGAGGAATAACCAGGAAACCTTATCCACATCTATAGAAGAAAATAAGTTCTGTTAGAAGGAATCTTTCATTGCATACAAGACAAAATTACATGTAGCATGATATCTTAGTTTGAATTTTAGTTAAATATTTTGTTCAACAAAGAGATTTCTTAATATACCATCAAACTACATGCACTCAAAAGAGTACAAAGTAGTAGTTGGCCTGGTATTAATTGTTTTTCAGGATAACTTCAAATAATTACATACGATATGTAAATATGTAAACTGCATTAATGACGCATTTACGTAACACTGTAATGCTCAAACCGTGAAAATGTTTGTACTCAGCGGGAACATTTAAATAATTTAAGGTTCTATAAAGGTTTAGAAATTGAATACAAACAGACAATTTTTAGAAACAAGGTCACTAATAAATTATTCCTCATGTATTGATACAATTTTTTGTTTCTAACATAACTTAAAACACTTTAATAGAGTCTCAAGAGAACATTAACACGCTTAATAAGCATAAAAATATTTCACCGAAGGGACGTAATTAATAAATATACATGCAACTTCTGGCAAAAAGCTGCAAACTTGATAAATCTTCCTCACATAATCTATTCACTACAGTGTGTTCTTCCGAATCAAAAAGATTGATGTCCCACGTAGAAGAGAGTAAATCCTATTGGATCACACAAGGAATACTAGAACTAAACAAAAAAAAACTTCACGACACGAAGATAACATTGAAGATTCCCCTTCTCCACTGATATCAAGTCAAACGTTTACGTGCGATACGTGTGGCTATCAGTGGACTGCGAATGCGTAAGATATCGTATGGAACGAGTTTCTCATTTACATTTCAAATTACTTACATTCTAATGTTATTATTTCTTACAATATTTAGAACACCTACATTTTTATTCGATATATGAATAAGTAAATATTTTTCATGACGCATATATATTTTGCATAGGTATGTGATTACATAACTTTTAATCTAATACAGAGATGAGCAGAGATGAGTTGGGAGATTGCTCACGAGCAAGATCGTGCGATCGCATCCTGTGCTGCCCTCTGGTTTCGTACGTTAGCTTTCACCGTTTTTTGCCCCCAAGGGCGGCGCAACGAATTTCTGATAGGGGCACGCGCACTCGCGATGGCGGTACCATCTACCAGTCGCCGTTGGCGGCCACGTACTCGTGATGGTAATACCATGCGGCAGTTGACGGTGGTGGCTTACCTACGCTTACCAACACTGCTCGCTTTTGATGGTAAGGGAAGAACACTCGTGACGCTCCATTTGACTTTATCTACTTATCTACTACTATTAAGTACATTGTTGCCTCGCAGTCGACGTGATGCGGAGCTTTGGGGCACGCGTCGGTGTCGCGTACGGAACTCTCATAGCAGCGAATCTGCGTGAGTGCGATCGCTCCTAGAAATCTTCGCGCGTCCCAACCAGCCAAGCGCCAAGCTACGGGTCGAGATGTTGAGTATATGTGCGTTCGGCGCTACACTCGACGAGTATACGTGAGAGTCCAATACTGCGGAAAATCCTCCCGAGGCTTACCTAACTGCGGATATAAGCCGAGTCATTTCGCGTATGATTTTTACATTTCCCTACTAGCGTTATCAAGCGTTTTTCGACAGTTTTCGAACGTTTTTGAGCGTTTCTCGATAATTTTCAGAGCGTTTTCAAGCGTAGTCACGCATTTTTAAAGCGTTTTCGAGTGATATTCTAGTGTTTTCGATCGTTATCGACCGTATTTCGAGCGTTTTCACGCGTTTTTCGACAGTTCTCGAACGTTTTCGAGTGTTTCTCGATCATTTTCAGAGCGTTTTCGAGCGTTTTCAGAGCGTTTCCGAACGTTTTCACGCATTTTCAGAGCGTTTTCGAGTGATATTCTAGTGTTTTCGATCGTTATCGAGCGTTTCTCGAGCGTTTTCACGCGTTTTTCGAGCGTTCTCAAGCGTTATCGAGCGTTTTTGAACGTTTTCGAGCGTTTCTCGATCATTTTCAGAGCGGTTTCGAGCGTTTTTAGACTGTTTTTTAGGGTTACCGAGCGTTTGTCAACCGTTTTCGAGTGTTTTTAGTGTCTTCAGAGCGTTTTTAGAGTCTTTCGGAGCGTTATGGAGCGTTTTCGAGCGTTGTCGAGTGTTATCGATCGTTTTCGCGCGTTTTTCAAGTGTTTTCGAGCCTTATCGAAGGCCGCACAGTGCGGTTGCGTGTTGTTAAGTGCAATAGAGTGCCGGAGAGTGCCGGAGAGTTGCCGCAGAGTGCCGCAGGGTGCT